AAAAAAAAAAAAAAAAAAAAAAAAAAAACACATCATAGTAAAACCAATACCTTCTCAGCTTCGCATCGAAGCTAAAATAAAGCAGTAGGAGAACAAGATGAAGTGCCAGTAGAAGTATGGAAAATATTAGGCGGTGTTGGCATAAAGTGGTTGAAGGAACTTTTAAATAAAATCTTATTTGAAGGGAAAATTCCAAATGAATGGTGGAATAGTATTGTGGAGCCGATATTTAAAGATAAAGGTGACATACAGAACTGTAGAAATTAGAGGCATAAAGGTTATGTGTCATAGTATGAAAATTTGGGAAAAGGTAATACATAAGAGAATAAGAAACAAACCATCAGTATCTAAAAACCAGATTGAATTTATACCTGGTAAGTCAAGAATGGAGCCATTATTTTGTGTGAGACCACTAATAGAAAAGTTTAGGGAAAAGAAAAAAAGCTATGGTATTTATAAATTTGAAAAAAACGTATGATAGTGTACCGAGAGAGGTGTTAAAATGGTCATTAATGAGAAAAGGAGCCTCAAAAAAGTATATTAATATAATAGAAGATATGTATGATGGCACTTGTACCAGGGTAAAAAAAGTAGAAGGAGTAACAGAAGGTTTTAGGGTAAAAGTAGTAGTGCACCAAGGTTCTGCTCTAAGCCCTTACTAATTTTCTATAGTGATGGATGAAATTACTAGAAAAATACAAGGAAAGGTGCATGTTGTTTAATGATAATGTCGTGTTAAAAGGAAAAAATAGGGAAGAAATTAATCAAAGGCTAGAGGTGTAGAGATCAGCTTTTGAAGAAAAGGGTTTCAGAATAAGTAGAAGTAAGAAAGAGTATATAGAGTATGAGTTTGACAAGGGAGAACATGAGATAGGTAAAATGAGGAGATCAGTGACGATAGGAGAGGTGAAAAGTATTTATGATCAGTTGTGTAAAAGAACGGTGGTATTGATGAAGATGTAAGACACATAATTAAGTGCGTGTGGTTAAAGTGGAGAGAAGTGTCTGGTGTATTATACGATAAAAGAATTCCAATGAGGCTGAAAAGTAAATTCTACAAGACTGTAATAAGGCTAGCTATGATGTATGGTTCGGTATGTTAGGCATTTGATAAGAAAGTAGAATAGAGAATGAGTGTGACAAAGATGAGAATGCTTAGATGGATGAGTGGAGTGACTAGAGAAGATAGGATAAGGAACGAGCATATAAGAAGGAGTATAGGGGTAGTATCAATTGTGGATAAGATAAGAGAAAATAGACTTAGATGGTTTGGTCATGTTATGAGGAGAGAAGAATCGGAAGCTGTAAGAACAATTATAGAAATAAATGTTGAAGGAAGAAGAGGTAGAAGAAGACCAAAAAAGAGATGGAGGGATGCTATTGAATGTGATATAAGGACAGCTGATGTGAACGTAGATGATGAGGGAGATTGTGTCTAGTGGAAGTTTAGAATAAGGGTGCCCAACCCCAAGTAGTTGGGATTAAGGCTAGGAAGAAGAAGAAGAAGAAGAAGAATATAATTAAGTTAAAAGAATTCCCATTAAATTTCAATGATCAACTTGTTTTTATCCACCCTAATATGTATATATAAGTAATAATTACCAGTTACAGATAGACCTCCTTCAAATTGCAAAAATTTTTTATCTACTTGATCAACTTGCATGATTGCATCAGTTAAACGATTATAAGCAAAACGACCATCAGGTCCTAGACTGGCTAGTAGGTTAATTGAGTAACCAAAACTATATTGTAATAAAGAAGACAGATTAAAAAAATTAAAAAAAAAAAATGAAAATACTTTAGGATAAAATCAAGTATACTCAGTTATAGTGTCATCTGGTTTCATTTTTCTTTTAATTATATTAATTAGTTTGGTAGTGTCCTTTGGTTTTAAATTTAGGTTATTTAAAGAATCAACACCAAAATACAAATCTGACATTCGAACATCTCGAATATCTTTTTTTTCCAGCATGGCATGAATACTCTAAGATTAAAAATCAATATTTAAATAAACTAGTTATATTATATGTAAAGATAACTTCACTACTTGAACCGATTCATCAACTTGTAACCTTCCAGAACATTTTTCAAGTAATTTCCAAGTGCTTGTAGAGAAGTATAAAATATCAAATGCTTTGTTTTTAAGGACTGAATCTGACAATTTCTTACACAAAATCTAGGATATATTACTCATTAATAATAGAAAAAAAAATTTTTCTATGTGTTTAAAATTAATATATAATACAATAATAATTTTCATTGTATAATAATGACATTTAATAAAAACACAATATATTAAATACCTCAACATTAGGTATTGAGTAGCCTAGTTGTTTTAAACCGGATACAGCATAGTAAATATCAGATACATTTGAAGAGTCTAATCCAGATGTTAGAATATTTTTTAGTTGTTCTTTGTCTCTATCTGATAAATAGCTATTGATAGAAAGACAGGTTGGTAGGAAAAAACAACTGGCATAGAAGACGAATAAAACAGCTAAAATAAATAGATTATTTAAAATTAAAAACATATTTTTATAATTTATTTAAAGCTAAAAAATATTTATCTCAAAAATAGATTGATTTAATTAAATTGTTAACATGATTGAAAAAATAAATTTTAAGAAAATTAATATCTTACTTGTTTTCATGATGTTTTATTCAAAATAATATAAGTTATACGGAATAAAATAGTTAATACATAACAGTAAATTACACTTTAGTACAAAATATATCATTTAACATCAGAAGACCGGTAGATTTATTCTAAGTAATAATATAAAGTAATACGTTAAAGAAAACTTTTTATCAGTTTGTAAAGGTTATGTTTACAACACGTCGCCGATTTAACGGTATTATCACAAACTACATAAAATTTTTGTATTATCTATGGTATAATAGACGTGTCACATTTAATACCAATAACCACGTCTATGTCAATATTAGGTAACAGCTCAATCTTATGAACTCATCCCCTAATTAATAAAAAAAATTTTAATTATTATGAACAGTATTTTATATAAGGTATTAATTTAACTTAAATAAACTTTAATGATACATTCTAAAAAATTTAATTTAGAGGTTTAAAACTGACATTTTAATTTTAAATTTCAATTTCTATACTTTATATTATAATTTCATCTTTAAAGAGTAAGCATAACTAGGAAAGCATCTTAGCCCTCCAAAATTATAGTAGTTATATTTTTTTTTATATATTTGTTTAGTGGTCCTCAGTATTGTACTTATACATCAATATATATAATTTCCAATTAAGAAATAAATTATAATAATACAAAAAATACGTGTTTTTGAAAAATATAGAGTGGAACAGGTCTAATTGAAAACTTCTATAACTTTTGATACACTTAAATTTCACTGTATTTTTATTTAAATAATTTAAGCATTATTAGACGAAATTAAAATCATATTTGTCATTATTAACCTTTTAACGCTTCATTTACAAAAATGATAAATGGATCCATAACAATTTTATGATATATCTTTATTTATCTGAAAGCATTTTAATACAATGAAACGGTACGTAGTGCAGACGGAGTGCATTTACGAAAAGTACGAGCAGTACCCACCCACTCTATATATTAAAATGCTGTAACGGATAAAAAAAATATAAGAACAAAATAGTTTATTATTTTATCATATTACCAAGTTAAAAATAGGGGTTCCTATTTAAGAAAATGTTATTTAAGGTTTTTTATCACTGATGGAATGAAACAAAAATATTAATTTACATATAATTGTACAGTAGTGATGGCAACTTGTTATTAATTTTGATAACTGTTACAAACTGTTATTGTTACTTTCAAAATAATAGTGATGTAATTGTTTTATGTGTTTAAAGACTGGTGAATATTGATGACCTTGGGTTTGAATTTGTTGTGTTTACTTTGCTCGTTGGGGTTGCACTTTCTCCGTAATCATTTGCTCCCGATCCCACTTTGTTTTTGGAGTCTCTCTCTTTACCAACCAGTAAGTATACCAACCAATATAATAAGAAAATGTTTCTATTCTCATTGTTTGTAATAATGACCTTTTTTTTTACTTTTAAAAATCTGTATATCATTAATCCATAACGTTATCAATGACGCATTAATCTCTGATGATAAGTTTTAAACAAGAACTGCTAATTTTAGATCTTATTTTTATACACAAAGATAAACTATACCAAATCAATTTTTTTTTTTGGAAATAAGGTGATGCTATTTTTGAAATGCTCATGTTCAAAAGTTAAAGTGTGTACCGGTCAAGTTCCCCACATAGCTCGAATCGCATTACCCCTCTCCATGTAATGACGACACTCGTGTCCGGCACTACCGGCAGTTTGCCGTCACTAACTACGTCGGTGTACGCGAGTGAAGTCGTACCGAACCGTTTGGGTCTGATGACTCGTGGCCAGTGATCTGGTATATTTTTTTTTGTTGGGTTTGTGTCAGCCTGTATAGGCGAAGCCCCAACATACGGTTACTAAAGGCTCAATCCATCTTTGGAGTTGGTGTCCTTAACGTCCATACACTGGTGGTGTTTCCTTTTCTGTGGTATTGTCAAGTTAGTGCGTCTTGTCAATATAAAATTAATCGTGGCATTCAGGATTGTTGGCGTCGGCCAAGAAGTATTGTTGTGGAGATGTGTCAAGTGGCTGGGTGATGTTACTCCTTTTTCTTATTACTTAATGTTCATATTATATGTAATTATTTAATTTGTGTATGATTAAAAGAATCGTGTCATTAGTAAAAAAAATGTGTAGATTGTGTTTTTAGCCTATTATTCGACTGTGTAAGTAAACTCCCGATCCGTCATTTATATTAAGATATTAACTTAACGTTAAAAGTATAAAGTAGTGAAATAATTTACTCTGGGAATTGTAAAGTTTCATTTCAATATATTTTTACAGCTCATGTAATGACCATTTCAAATGAAGTCTTAACTAACTGTCAAAAAAAATGTGACTTGAAATAGTTTATCTCTGGTGTACAAATCATATTTCTCTCTTATGATGAAAATTATTAATTTTTTTGTTTTTTTGTTATTTCGATGTGACGAGTACTGACTAAAATGATATTTAGACTATTAGTCCGTGTCCCGTTCCGTCCTTATAATTTATATAATTGTTTGTTTATGTAATGATTTTTGTGGTTTTTAACTTGAATTTTTAATCATAAGATTAATGATGCAATGCATTGTTATTAATAATCATGGAAATACACATTTACAGTACTTTTTGGGTCGGATTCAACGACTTGAGCTTCGGATTTTGGAGTGAACTATTTAACCCCAAACCATAGATGTACTGGAAAAAATCTTGTTTTTCTATTTCGATCATGATTTTAGTGATCATTTTATTATAGTATGAACAAAAAAAACAGTTCAGTCGGGACCCGGTGGAGTTTGACGAAAAACGGCATTTATGTCGGGTTAATTTTAAGAAAAAGTCATGCAAATAATAATTTCCACAAACGTTGATAAAAAAAAATTTACTGTACAGCTATAAATTAAAAAACGCCTCGCATTATCTAGCACCAGTAAAGGTGATACGGAAATGAATATTTTCAAGAATTAATATAAATAAATTATTATTCATATTTTGAACTAAATACTGTAAATTGGCGTTACCTTAATAATAAGGGGTTACTTTAATAATTGATTATTTTTATCTTAATATTGGTATAATTTTTTGATAACGTATATGAATTGCCGTTTTTAATAATTTTTTATTTGGTGCAACTGGTCAAAAACTCAAAATTGTTCCTTGATAACATTTCACCATAATTTTTTAGTTTTTTTCATTGTTAATAACAATTTAAAGCAAGCCTCCAGAGCTAGGCCGACACTGAGAAGAAATGATTATTTTGCCAGTGTTTTCATGTCATTAGCTTAACGAGTGACCTGCAGATATAAATGTATTATTCTATAAATTCAAAATGAACTTTTTAAAAAATGTTGAATACTGTTATACGCTTATTCTTAAAAAATATTAATTAATTTTCAAAATAAAATTACCTATACTATATTTTTTCATTTTATTTATCTTATTAACAGCAGGGGTCTTACCCTGTGATTGGAAACACTCAACGAGTGTTTCAGAGTGTACCGGGTTCGGTCCCCAAAGTGCCATTGAGATTTTTCTTGTGATTTACTTATTGGTGGTGTCTGATCTCTTGTTGCAAGCCGGTCATAATACAAGTCCCGTCCATCATTGGCCTAGTCAAAGAACAATCTTTGACTCTCTAATTAAAATTTGGGAGTATGAATAAAATTATTCATTGAGCGTACAAACTGCGCCTAGTATCTATTAATTGAACAGGAGTCATATACATTTTCCATGTAATAAAATTTTTTCTCGAAAACGGTCAAAATTTTAAAACGCTCACGAGCGAATGTCAACAATTTTCCGACCTACGGCAATAATTTTGAGATAATTATAATTAATTATAATTATAATAATTAAGACGGAGTCTCGTGATCCAGTACTCTTGTTGCACGCTAAGTAATATTCCCAGAAAACCGTTTTTTTCCTTGTTCTATGTTATAATAAGATACGCGAAGTGATAAAATGATGAACAATAAAAAATTATTTTAAATTTTTTAAATTAAAAAAAATTCTTTAGCTGACTGTGATTCAGATATCGATAATAATATTCATTCGTTACCTGTAGCTGTAAGTAAAACAACATTTTATTTGGTAGTTTTGTTGTTATAAAATCATTTTTAGGAATAGAAATTAATATAATAACTATTTAATTTTTTGTAACTATAGTCTGAACTAACAACTAATGCTTAAGTACTAGTAGCTTATTAATAACTTATTTATGTTATTAATTTGAATACATATTTAACTTTGAAAACTTTTTTAAGATATCCTATTTTTTTTAGGAATACATATTATTTGTAAAAATTGTTTAGGTCAGAAATGATGGTTATCAAAAATTCTTTGAAACGAAACATTGATTTAGAAATGGCGCAATACCATTTGAAGTCAGTGAATGGTGAATATGTGTTTCTTAATTATTGCATATTATTCAAATTAGCAATAACGTTTCTCTTTGATACTGCCACATGTGTAAGGTTAATATGATGGGCTAAAATATGAAACATTACTAAAAATTTAAAATGGTGTCTCAATACTGAGTGCCTAATTTTGATGAAATGAATAATCAACAATTCATAACTAATAATAAAGTCAGATCATGAATTTATAGATGAATCTATATCTGAATATCAACAACCCAGTGAGTAATATATTAAAATTGGTACATTTATTTTTGTAAATGTAAAATTGTAGACCGAGGAGTAAATAAATATTTGTATCATGCTGATTTTTAAAAGAATATAATTAATAAACAATTTGTGATAGTTACGTATTGATTCAATCAAATTAAATTATAAAGCTAGTCTTCTGAAAAATGAGACTGAATATTAGTTTAAATAAAATCAATTAATAAATTGGTAGTGATTTAAATTTTTTATACGTGGTATAAATATTATTGCTTCTAAACTATTTTTTTTTTCAATTAAAAATGTTCAGTTATGATCTGTAAAAAGTTAAATCTAGTTATATTAAAATTGTACTTTTAAATCATTAGTTTTATGTAAAAGTAATATGGTAACCTAAGTAATCCCATTTTAGTCATATTTAAATAATTAAAAAAATATTTATCAAAAAATTTCTTTTAGCAAACAATGATAATTTCATTATTATACCTCATGATATAAGGAATAAAATTATGGGGTATCAAAATAACCCCACATGCAGGCTATCATTGATAGGTACATTTATCATAATACATTAACATGTTAAAATTAAAAAAAAAATTTTTTTTTTTATATTTAAGAAATTCATATTTTTGAAGTAAATAGATAAATATTTATTTACTTAAACATTATTTAAAAATGAAATTATCTAAGAATACATATAAGAATTATAAAAGTAACCCTAATTTACGATAGTGAAATTGTGAGTTAAAATTATTTAAAAAGGTTATTAATAATGACTTAACATTTAATTTGAAACTTGCGATCTATTGAGTTTAACTCTAAAGTTGGGCTTTCATATCTCTATTCGTGGGTTCTGATTGAAAGGTCTCAGAAGTGATTCCGGTTTTGGGTTCTTGGAATTCTTTACTTGGTAGACATTAACAGAAGTTTTTGTCTATCTCGACCAGTCTAAGGTTGCTTGTGAACACTAGTGAACCGGGAAATCTGGAGGTCCATACTGACAGCTTTGCATGTCATATTCTTGGTGTCGGACTCGATTGGACTTGGTTTCCAACCTAGTACACATTGGTTTTGCAATTTCCGATGTGTGCGTGGCCCTTAACGGGCAGAGCGTTGCACTCTGGTAGTTCTTCTTGGTCACTTCGTGATAATGAGATTCCAAGTGGTGCTCTGTCATGTACTTCAACTTACGGCTAAAAGGGAATATTAGTGGTAGGTCTCCGCTTTACTGGGTATGGAAGAACTATGGAGTAACGTGGTTTATAATCTCGTCGCACAGTCTTTTCTAATTGTAATAAGTAAGTTGCCTACAGTACGATTTCCAGATATGTATTGTGGATCCAAGGCTCTTAGCACCTTTAACTTTGGTGGCCGGGGGCCAATCTGACCCCCCAAATGACACGAAGTAACTATGACTCTTTTTTTTTTTTTACCAAATTTGACCATAAATAACACTCCTGAATAATTTAAGTTTAAGACATCGAATATGTATGTATAAAGCTTTATTAAATATACCACTGAAAGGATGGAAGCACTACAAAATTTATGAATTGAAAATACATTTAAGAATTTATATTTTTAAACATGAACTAATTTTGGCACGCTCATTTTGATTTAATAATCCGATGATCTTAGATTAATTATGTAGTTAATAAACTAAGTGGATTTCTATATGCCTGTTCATAAAAGTACTTATAGTGTATTTACTTTATTAAAGATAATAGGATTTCTCTAATCATATTGAAGTATTTATAAGTAAATTAAACTAAAATATTAACTTATAGTATTTTTAAGTGTATAAATTGATTTGTCAAGTTCTTAATGAGGGTTTTAATTATATTACTTGAATTTCAATAAAGAAAATTTTATATTATATAAAATAATATACAACCCAAAATACTATTCCTATAAATATATTTTCTTTAGTTTCATACTATATTTAATAATACTATAAAAAATAAAGATAGAGTGTGTTCATTTGAGTACAAAGAAATATTTATTACATTTAACTATAGCATAATGGTATATCTATATCATACACAATAATTAAATAATGATAATTAATGTGATATTATAATTTAGAAGTTATAAGTTACAACATTCACAAGTTATTAATGAAATTAATATTTAACAATCTTTAAATATTTATTTTTTAATAATTTATGCTCCAAAATGTTAGCTAAAAAATATCTACTTTACAAGTGGAATTAATATAAATATGTGGTGTAAAGTATCTTGCTTAGGCACAATAATTTTCATATCATATCATAAAACTTACAAGAAAATGTTCTATACATAACAAAAAAATAATTAAAAATGATAATCACAATAACTAATTACAAAATATTTATAACATAAAGAAATAAAATGTTAATATTTGCAATATTAATTGTAAAATATATATTTTTTAAATAATATTACACTTAACTAAGAGATTAAATCTTAGGAGAGAGAGAAAATTATTTTTGAACTGCATAAAAATTATTTGTAAAATGAAATTTGCACATAAATAATTTTAATAAATATCAAGTATTGAAAAAATATTTGTATTATTTATTGGCTGCCTCTCGTTCTTCTCGTAAACGCTTTTCTTCATTAGCTATCCTAGTTTCTTCTTCCAATATTTCATCAAAGTTTTGCATAGAATTAGATCTTGAAGACACTTTTGTCTAAATAATTAATGATAAAAGATGACAAAATAAGTTTTATAATTATTAACTATAAAAAATATATCTACCTTGACATTTTCTAATGCAGAACCAACTTTTTCTTCAAATGAACGGAATGACTCTGAATTTTTTATCTGACCTAATTTGGATGTCAGACCACTACCAATACCTCCAAATATTGTAGTCGCTTTTTCTGCAGTAGTTTTAACAACTGATTCAGTTTTTTGGTAACTAAAATTTAAAAGAGAAAAAAAAAAGTCACACTTTTACTAAAATAAATATAATTTTTTTTAATTAAAAATAATATGGTTTATCAAACAATTTTTAAAATAAAATTATTATATTAATTTATATCATTGTATACAATACCATAAAATACAAACATAACTGAATATGTATTAAATAAAAATTGAATATTTTTATCTTCTATTATAAAACATAGCTAATCTAAACTTGTTGAAATTTCAATTATCAAAAAATTAACAAATTAAAAAAATTAAGAATTTCAATGGAAATTTTGATGAAAAAAAAACAAACAAATATGATGGTTTTTAAAAAAATTGAATTTTTTTGTGAAATATTTATGAGAATGTTTTTTTTTAATTTGGATAAATTTAAATAATATTAACAATGAAAATACATATAATAAGTAGATATGATTATTATTAATATTATTCATCAACATAGAGCAATATATAATTTATTTATTTTTAACTAATCAATTAAACAGAATTTTATTAAAAAATCCTTTTGAAATGAGAGTTAAATAATTTTCAAATAAATCATCAAAATTTTTCTATTTTTTGATTTAAACTTTCACCGGTTAATGATGAGTTAACTAAAGTGTATAAAAAGCTTTTCTAAATAATAGTCCATGTTACACTAAGCAGCAAATTAATCAATAATAATGCACATAGATAAAGCTTAAACTTACATAGGTGTTTCAACAACTGCAGATCCAAACTGTTTAAATTTGCCTTCTACATTTTGATAACTAAGTATATAAAAAAGTAGCTAATTAGAAGAAAAAGCATAGTGCTAATAAAATAAGCAATTTTGTGAAATTTTAATTCAATAAGAATTACTATTAATTTTTAAAAGAACATGCTGGACTACACATGTAAATTTTATATACCAGTGTTTTAGAACCATATTCCTGGTGGGGGTACGCATGTCACTTGAATCTGGTAAAGAAAAGTTGAATCTAGTAAAGAAAATATAAAAATTTTCAAATTATTTTCTTTAATATATAAAACTTGTAGTAAAATTAAAAATTCAGAGTGATATAATATTAAATTTTGACACAAGAAGCAATAAAATTGAGTTATTGTAAAAAAAAATATAAATCTACACAACTTATAAATGAATAAAAAAACAAAGTACTAATGAACTTTACAGTTGTTAAATTCTTTGTAACAAATAAAGTATATTAACTATAGAGTAATAGATTCTAAGATTCTAGCATTTTACTAATTTATGTTTGTCTGTAATTAAACATGGTTCAGGGTGATGAACATGCTCTGTCCAAAAATAAAAGTTGGATCCAACATTTTTATGTTGTTTGAAATTAAAAAAAAAAATTAAGTAGACACTCTTATAAGAAATAATGGTTGAACAAAAAAAATTCATAAAAGTTATTATTTTAAATAAAATTAAGTAGCTAGTGTTAAAAGAATCACTCTGTATAAAGAATCACTATGTATGGTGGATATACATCCACCATACATAAATTTTTAAATAAAAAATCAAGTAAAAAATGAGTAAATTTGTATAATTTTTTAATTATTTTATCATTACGAAATAATATTTAGGAGTTGTATTAATGTTAATTTTCAACTTTATATTGTAATTCAATAAAAACACTGATATATAAAATTTCACTAAAAGCGATAAATGTTTTGTCTTTTCAAAGAAGACTTACATTGGTGCGTCAACAACAGCCTTCCCAAATTGACTAAATTTTTCTTCTACATTTTGATAGCTACATAGAAATAATAATTGTATAAAAATAATAAATTCTAACGAAAAAAAAATTAAATCAAAACAAGCAAAAAAAACTATTATTGATATTTATGGAATACTCACACATTAGATTCTTTAACATTTTTTAAACTTTGTGAAACATCATCAGTAAGTTCTTGCCATACAGTATAACCAAGTTTCCTACGAAGTTCTTGAGAAGCTTTCACTTTAGAACCAAGCACTTCACGTAATGTTTTAATTTCTTCTTCAACTTTATTTAATTCTTGTTGCCATTCTTCTTTTTGTTTTTCTTGTTCCTCGAGACTCAAGCCTTGAAGTTCGTTAATGCCAGAATCAGGTGACATAATTACTGGTGGTTCTTCGCCTGAAAAATATCAAACATGCAACAATTCGCCATGAAAAAATAAAATATGTTCAAAAATTGCAAAGCATCGATTTGTTAGAAAAAATATATAAACGGCCTTGATGATGTACACGACTACACACTAACTCATCATAAACGAAATATTCTTTTATTATAACATCATGCAAACTATTAGAACTCATAAAAACGCTTTGCAAACAAAATTGCTTTACAATTACTTAAAAAACAATAGTAAATAAACCGAATTTGTTAAAGCAGGTAAGACAAGAAAGTACACTGGCGAAGAAGAATATTTTGTCTGTAACTAATCTAATACACAATAATAGTGTATCAATTTATTTTTATAATTGTAACTAAATTCATTGCGTTACAATATTAGTGTTTTTTTAAAATAATGGACTTATTTTATTTTAAGCCTAAGTCATAAAAATAAAATATTTAGTAAAAAAATAATAATTATTTTGACAATTTTTATTTTTTAATAATAAAAAACCTCAAATCCGCGACCTCTTATTAGAACTTAATCGTATTTAATACAATTAGTAAGACTATACCTAATACAATTTTTAACTCTATTGGTCATGTCTAAGATAAACTACAAATCTTAAATAAACAAATTATAGTATAGATATTTTTATTAATGTGATTTTAAAAATTGACTTAAGTTTTAAATACATTTAGCTTGTTTATAAATTTTCATAATTAATAACACTAAACAGTAGTACAATAATAACAAAAGTAAAATATGGCGTAATGCAAATTAAATAACAAAAGTTAAGTACTATGTTTATGTATTTACGATCATGATAGCATTGAAAATAAAAAATCAATATATCATTTATCATTTATTTATGCCTAATATTTAAAAAATATAGCCTAGATATAAATGTTACAAAACGCTAATGCTGTTCAATCAGTCAAGAAAATGGTCGAAATCATATTTATAATATATTTGGTAATGAATTAAAAAAAGAAATTATTTATATTATACATTTTATTTGAGATTTCTACAATGTAGTACATTTTTAAATCATCAAAAATATGAAAATTTATTTTCATATAAAAAACAGTTTATTAAAATTTACGCTTTTGAAAATAATTAATAAACCATTTCTTATAACTATTTTTGATTTTAATAAATATTTGCGTTTAGAGTTTAATGTCTCAATTATCTATAAATGTCAATGACTAATCGTAATTTTCTAATGAGCAGAGTATGAGATAAATGAGTATAGAATATACTATGCACAGTTGAATTGAAGAATTAAAAATACATAAAATAATATTATAAATGAACGTTATATTCACTCTAATAATTAAAGCACTAATACGAGTTATATAAATTAAGATGATGCACGTGATGCACAGAATTTCTTGTGTTTTAAGAAGTTAAATCATGTACCAAAAAGAAAATAATATTTTCAAAAAATTTTGCACAGCGAAAATTGTTCTTTAAACAAATAACGGTTCAGCAATTATTCAAACTAAAACGTGTTAAACAGAGCGTAACAAGCCGCCGACCTTTTTTCTTCATCATTCTTGCTAGTTTTTGATAACTCTTATGTTCTTTAATTTTATCAAGGAATTTAGTGCGACTCGATGTAAAAGGTAATTCTGGTGAATGGTTAATTTTCAGCGGGGAAGGCGCAAAAGAAGCAATGGAGTCCTCATCGTCTGGATCAGATACAGTATCCTCATCAACAATAACGAATGTACTGCCAAGAGCTGCATCATCTGCATCAAAACTGGGTGTCTCGGTGCCAATAAATGCAGTTTCTTCATCATCGTACTCTAGGGATGGCATGTCCACGTCATGCACTACAACGTCACGCGCCATAATATCCGTGAGAAAACAAAAATAGACAACGTGTGAATTTTTCAAGAAAAATAATGATGTACTCAAAATTTTTTACGTCATCTTGAAAAACAGCGTCTTAAGCGAACACGAGACGCAAACGTGTACCGGACACAGAAAAACAGCACACCACTACTTCATCGGTGACTGACAAAACCGGTCGCTGTCCCAGCTATACACATATTTGTGGATACTTTACAATCCCCGCCAACACACTAGATTTAGTAGTATTATTGCCAACAGAAACACACGATAATACCGTACACAACTTAATAATGACACTAATACTACGTTTCCATTGAGATCAGAATAATAATATATCCTATTCTATAGTATAATAAGATAGTTTAATCTACAATTACTGTAAATTAGAATATAAGTATTTTATAATTAAATTTATCTATAACTAATCCGTGGTGAAATTATGGTCCACCTTAAAATATTTAAATCTAATAAAATCTAATTAAAAAAAATCTTGCAATAAATGATAAATTTTCAAAAAATTGTTTTTACGATTTAAACAAATGTATTTTTTCTGGAAGAATTCTAGATCCACATCTGTATAAACCATCAAAGACATACAATAATTCTTTAAATTTTCGAAAAAGAGTAAAGTCACATCTTAATTGTTAGCTTATAGTCCTTATTATTAGAACATAGAAAATAATATTTATAATTTTAATGTATGGCCCACATTTATCATTATTGTAAGACAATAATTTTGGTTAAATTTAATTATGATTTCTTAACTCTTACCTATGTCTATTCGTTAAGTTTAAAAAACGGTTTATACAGGTGCGGATCCTGTAGTGAATCAAAAAAAGAAAAATAATATTATTATTTGTTTGTAATTTAAAAGGGGGATATTACTTGTATTAATTTAGGGAGTACTTTGAAAGTTACTTAAAAGAAATGAATTAAATAGAATATGACGGGATTTGGGTGCTTATTTGATCCACTACTTTATTGTATTAATAATATTATTACTCGTGGTATAAGTACGAGGGTCTGTAAGAAAGATAGAAAATTAAGTGATCTTTATTTTATTAATATGGGATTTATTATAATTAATTGTCAATTTTTAATATCAATAATGCCCTGAGTTTTGACAGTTATCGATGATAGGTGGGATTGAGTCACCTCGTGTGTCTACCCAGAGTGGTATGATGGGTTATACATATGAACCTCCAACCTAACTCCTGAAATAGACACGTATCAACGATATAACTCTGCCAAGTAACTCTGTACAAACATGATCGATTTATTAAATTTACTTGGTATATTTATTATTATTGATGATAACTTGATTTTCCTGTATGCCTACTTAATCTATGTACTCATAAAATTTAATTCTAAACCTTATATATTTTTGGTGAATTTATTAGATTCCAACCTTGATATTTTCTGTGACACTCTTAAAGAAATAGATGTTGTATTTTTTTTACAAATATAATTGTGAAGACGGCGGATCACTTCTTGCATATATTTCGTTATGAGGAATAATCGAGCGTAGTGAGTGCCTCTATGAATATCTGACTGCATCTGTTTTTTAATGTTCTTTATTTTTGGCTTTTTATATTAAATTTGATGGTGGTTCAAAGGCAAGAAGTGATCACCGACGCCACTATTATTTCTTTATTAATCGTAATTTATTACATTTTTATCAATAATGATCTACATATTATAAAATACTATCATATCTTATACAACAATTTAGATAAGGTTTATTACCCTTCATCTTGTGTGCTACCATTACATATTGTTTATTATTTCCTGTTTGTTTTATATAATTAATATATGCTTTTTTCTATGAAATTTCATTAGTATATTTAAACATTTAAAAGGTACATATATATATTATTTCATTTTGTGTGATTGATTGATTGAAGTCTTAATTAATACGTTATGACATTAATGATGTATTGTTTATATTACAAATAATTTATTATTACATAAATGATGTACTGTGTATATCATTACAATCCAGAATTTTTCCAAAAAAGATACATTCGTTTAAGTCGTAATAAACATTTTTTTGAAAATTCAACATTCATCACATTCTAATACATTCTACAGTTCTATACAATTTTCGCTAATGCAGTATTTCTTAAATAAATTTAAAAAACAATTAAATTACCTCCCTTTTCTTTTAATCCCTTAAGAAAACGGAAAGGAGTTTAGTAAATTTAACCAAAATTATTTTTTTACAATAACAAAAAAAGTATATTAATTTATTTAAAGACTTATTCATCTTCCTTGGAATTCTTTTATCGCATAATACACCAGACACTTCTCTCCACTTTAACCACACACACTTAATTATGTGTCTTACATCTTCATCAATACCACCGCTCTTTTACACAACTGATCATAAATACTTTTCACCTCTCCTATCGTCACTGATCTCCTCATTTTACCTATCTCATGTTCTCCCTTGTCAAACTCATACTCTATATACTCTTTCTTACTTCTACTTATTCTGAAACCCTTTTCTTCAAAAGCTGATCTCTATACTTCTAGCCTTTGATTAATTTCTTCCCTATTTTCTCCTATTAACACTATATCGTCAGCAAACAACATGCACCTTTCCTTGTATTTTTCTAGTAATTTTATATGAATTTATTTAAAGTATTCAATTTATGAACAATGGCTACATTCATACGGTCGGAAATTTTACATATAAGTTATAGACTTTTTTTAAACATTTTTGTGGCGAACAATAAGTTTGAAGATTTATGTTCAATATACCCTACTTCAAAAAAAAAAACAAAATTAGCTCTTCCATGATTAAGGAGAGGAATCTTTTTATTTATACCTGGGAGTCTATTTTTGAATGTATATTAGTGTGAAATCAAAAAATCGTAGTGTAATAGTGAAATATGTTTAAAAATATATTTAAATAACTTAAGTTTTAGATGAAATTTTTAGAGTGTGTTTTACTACATCGTGATATTAGCACACTAATTACAGTTATCAATGAATTTTTAAAAAATCGAGTTAAACAATTTTTTTTTTTAAGTTTATAATAGATTATAATGTTACATTAAAATTCAAATCAATGTTATTCAAAATATAAATTTAAATATTTTTTAATAAAACGTTTTTAAAAAGATTCTAAAAGATTAATTGTTAGTTAAAACTCAGCATAATATTAATTAATATAATTAGTTGGTAAGTATTTTTTAAAATATTATTCTTTGACATTCTATAGTACCATAAAAATTTAACTAAAACTAGAAGAATTTTTTTGGGGGTAGGTGCGCTAATTTTTATGAATTCTTACTTTATCAAAATTTATAAATTTTTTCTTGGTCAGCAAGCCTATATAAAATTATTTTTTGAAGAAGGGAAGATAAAAACCAATGATAGAGATCAGCAAAAAGTTTCAAGTAGGGTCAAATAATTTAAAATATATATATATATATATATATATTTTAGGCCTAGAAACTAAATAAGTATATATTATATGAAATTTAAAATTAATTATACATAAGACGATAGTCTACAATTGACTATTCTATAAATACCTTCAGTTTTTAAAATGCAGCAAAATAAATAAAAGAATAAAATAAAGAAAAAAAAGTTGCTAAATTAAATTGTATTAAATCTATACAACTTTTAAAACTTACAGAGAACAATTAAAATTTATAATACTTCTTTGAATCTATAGATCATTATCATGTATTGTATTATGATGTAAATAATACATGATATTTATATATGAGGCACTTAGAAGAACGCAAGAGATATAAGTGATATATTTTAATATTAAGATTAGACTTCAACATTTTTTGATTCATATAATAATACAATGTATATAAAATAACATTTCTGATGATTTTTTTTGTGTTATTTTACTAAACTTCTATCAGCACAAAAATTTTTACTCAGTTTTTGTATAAACCTAATAAGAGCAGTATAATGTCACTTATAACTGTACCATTCTTAATTTGATTCTTTAAATTTAATTCAAAATTTCACATTAGTCTTCAATAAATAATTATATAATTTTTAAACAAATTAAAACCTTGACAATTTTTTGGAGAATCAAAAATAAAATTGTAGTTATTAAATTTAAAATATCTATTTACATAAAACATTACTCTTGATACTATACTTTCATAAAATATTATATATATTTTGCACTTATTTTACACTTAAGAAATTGTTTTTTAATGAAACAATTTATATTTGATTACTAATGCTTATGTCCTTCTTAAATATTAATAAAATCCTTTAAAAAAAAACCATTTCATAGAAACAATAGTTATAGAATTATTATTTGCTGTCTACTATGATTGGCATAAGTACATAACTATCAGAGTAATTATTTCGGCAATAATATAAAATTTTAAACTTTTTTATTTTCCACTTATGTATAAACTTTCATAGACTATGTATTTAACTTGAACATTACATATATACAGAAGCTCAATACTATTTACATTCAGAGTTATATTATTTGGGTAAACAGTAGTTCAAACAATAGTCTTAATAAAATTTAAAAAGGGATTCCCCTTTTAGATTTGTTCTTTAGGATATATCAAAAGTATATACTAATGAAATACGAAATTTAAATGTAATATTTTTTATACAATACAGAAATACTTATTAAAAACTTGTTTTTCGTTGAATTTTTATGAGTAAAAAAATATAATTACTAAACATTTATATAAAAAAAAAGTACTTCTATATTAAAATCAATCTAAAATATTCCAATAATAATATAATTTTGAACTATTATAAATAGTTAGAAAATTTGCTAAATAATATATGAAGTTCATAATACATAATTTATATCATAATTCATGATATAAATTTAAAACATTTATGACACATCAAACGTATGCTTCAGATCATTAAACATTTAAGTTGAGTAAAATAAAATCAATACATACCAACTGAAAGAGTACTCATTTCGAAAATGATTAATAAATTGTATAAACAGCACACTTAATTTAGCAATATTCTACAAAATCACCAAATCTTGAAAATAGGGATGAAATAATGCAGCCTTAAAGGTTCAAGTCCATAATCGCCTTATCAAATTATCAATGACGTCAAAATAGTGCGTAGACGTCCATTCGTTCGGTAAAAATTATTAGTAATAATCCTTACAGTGTAGCCAATAAGCTCGTGACCAACATAATAATTTAGGCGCATAAAATTAAATACAAAATACAAAATGTTTACATAAAAAATAACGATTTAACAAGATATTGAAAATATCAAGTGAATAAAACTTGAATGAAAATTAATCCATGCAAAATTATCATTGATGCACA